AGTGCCTTAAAAAACCTCTTCCTCGGGTCCCGAACCCATACATAGGACATGGTGACTAAAAGTTACAAGACAGAAGACATACTTTAAACCATTCTAAACAGCAGGATATAAAAGAAATGTTTTTCATAACCATTTCTCAGCTTTTTCCCCTTTTTCCTAGATATTTGTTGTTTTAACTAGTGAAGTGTTATTTGGTACTATTTTGAGGTTTGTTTTTATTTTAAGAGGTTGTGTTTTTTTTGTTGTTTTTTTTTTCAGAACCGGGGATTGAACTCAGGCCCTTGCGCTTGCCAGAGAAGCGCTTATTCCACTGAGCCATCTCCCCGGCCCCTTTAAGAGGTTTTTGTGGCCAGGTTGGGGAAGTGGTAGTTAAAAGCTCCATGGAAGAACTTTTGTTTCTAGGAGAAAACTTTTATACAAGGATAAATACAGAAGAAACCACATGAATCCCACTGTAGTTCAGTATTAGTTGATTCTGCTCTGTTCCTCTGGGTTAAAAATCAGAGAATGGAAAATGTCTTCATTCCACAGGGACCTTTCTTTGTAATGCTCATTCATTTTTAATGATTTTTGTCAGAATAGTTATTATGGATTTTGCCACCAGTATAAAAAGAGGGGAGTCCTGGTCTCCAGTTATGCCTTTTCCCTCAACTAGCTAATTTAGCACCAGCTGACTCACCAGGACTCAGGCCTCAGTACCTTCACCCACAACAGAAGCATGCAGGGAGGCGGGAAGTGTCCTCAGTGGTACAATGGATGCTTAGCGTGTGAGAAGCCCTGGTTTCAATCTCCAGCATCTCAACAATAACAACAAAAAAATTAAGTAGCATGCTGGCTTAAAAGGTTTCTTCCAGCTCTTAACATTCTCCTTCTACTCTTGTATAATTAAGCAAAGAAATGTGAAGTATCCTATTTTACTACCCTAAGGACTAGGAAAAATGGGAAACGATATTTCTAACATACACTAATGTACCAAAACTTCAATAAGCAGAGTCCAAGAGAACAAACAAGAGTACAGAATCTGTCTCCTACCTGACACTGCGGGGAAGCCCTAAGGAAATGATTCACCTTTCAGCAACCTTCCTACCCACACAACATTCAGGGAACCAAGGTAAAAGACATTTTGCCAAATCCAGTCCCTGCAGATTTAAACATAAAGATCATGACCAGGCACCTGTATTGGCAACTCCAAACTGGGCAAATTAGACCTCTATCACCAGAGCCTCTAACTTGCAGAGTGCCTTGCAGATTACCACAAAGAAACTTTAATTCTGGACAGAGGGATGAGATTTCTTCATTTGACATAATCTGACATATCGACTTTTATGAGTTTCCCAAAAACTCACAGAAAGGCTGCGCCAAACACAAAAGTGTTATCTTCAGAGGGAAAGACCAAAAGGAATACAAAGTCTATACATTTAGCACTAAACTAAATATAGAAGGAAAAAAAGACATTTAACAAAAAAGCTTTCATTTACACAATCTTTGTTTAAAATGATTCCAGAAACTACTCTAAAAGGCGGAACTGAAGGTCAAGAGAAAAAAAGAATATTCTCCTGAGAGATCTTTCATTCAGTTCCATCATATCTTAACAAAAGGGAACAAATAACTTCAAATATCTTTATGAACGCTTCTTACTATAAAGATTGTGTGTATTCTGTCCTGCCTTTGTGTGCTGCCACTATGTGACTTACCTATAAAATCTGTCAATAAGCTTGGAAACTGACAAGGTCAAAAGACAAATTAAAGGGATTAAATTAACGCCTAGGAAAAGTAGGGAATGGCTGTTTAAAGGTGAAAGAGGGACGTTATACAGGGCTCAGGATCTGCCCAACGTCCCCAGCAGTGGCCACAGGCCACATCACAAGGCTCCCCCTATCCAGCGATTTAAACAGGTTTTTAGGGCATCTACGTCTCCTTGCCAAAACACGCCACGCAAACACAGCCTGCATCTGTTAGACAGCGAGTGCAGCAACGGGATCCGGGCAGCACACGGAAGTAAGGTCCAGTAACGAAAGTGTGCGACGTGTCAGTCGGCCTGAGAGTTTCAGGGGTGCCAGCAACTGCAGCACATCATCACTCTCGCCGCCGTGTAGGCCACAAAATCTGAGTTGGGGTCGGGAATATCTCCCCCTCCCTCCACTTTTTTTTTTTTTTTTTTTT